ACCACCACCACCACCACCACCACCACCACCACCACCACCACCACCACCACCACCACCACCTCAATTATTATTATTATTAGTATTGGTATTATTAGCGTTATTACTATTATTATTGTTGTTGTCGTTGTTGATGTCTTGATTAGGAGCAGCGTGGTTTTTTTGGCTATTGCATTGCCTTAGAGGGCAACCCATGCGCACAGTGATGCACAAACCAACAGATTGTGTTGCCATGTCTTACGAAGAGTTGGTTGGCATTGTCATTCACGCCAACGCCTCCTTCTCCACCTTCAGCCTGGCTCGAGGATATCGGACTTCCGATGTACAAGCCCACTTTTCAAGCCGAACTCGTCGACGCCTACGTCCTGCATGAGCTCACGCTGGTACGCAGTTTTGTGCGACAATGCTGTCTGCTTCACAGCTACACTTGCCTTCTCTCATGTGCTTGACCCACTGCTTCGGACTGGAGGCTGCGCAAGCAAAGGCATTTCGGGTGACCGTGTGATCAATCACATGCGTGCGCAGCAGAAAGAATTCAGTGGGCATTGGTGACACGATTGCTTACTGCTTGACGGTCAGGACGCTGTACCACCGGGTCAGACGTTGCAGACCAAAAGGGGTCGGAGTGGGCATCGTTTGTAGACAGTCATTAAAACGTCGTCAGTGGTAGGTGATTAGGCATGTCCACCATAGCTATCAAATGCCTTCATGGGATAGGCGGGTTGGGGTAGTTTGTATTGGCAAGTAACCAGGCAGGAAGTGATGTCGACGCTACGCAAACAAGCGAATTCGCAATGTTTCATGATGGATGTTGGCGAGCATGGTAGAGGGCTTGCCAACTTGGTTGTGGCGCATTTGGTGAGTGGTAGACGATGGGGAGTCTGAGAGCAGCATGTTCTAGTGCAGCGTAAAGGCGGGAGAGGTAAGAACTTTTGGCATCACATTTTAGTCGGAGGTGCAAGCAATGGGAGTGAATAACGAGCTGCACATGGTGTCCTTGCGACGAGGCCTCCAACTGATGCGTCGAGTCAACTTTGACCTCACTCGTCTGTGCCGATGTTCAGTGAAGAGCAGTTGTACTGCTCTGGCAGGCGGTTGCGCCAATGGCACTGCTGACGACGTCTCACAGATGTCAGCTGAAGTTGCCGCGTGTATGATGGAGTCGGCACATTCCACTCCTGCCATCGTGATGCCACAGCCATCCACCCTCACACCACCTTCAAACGCCCGTCGGTACGTCGATGAGTGTAGCGTGTTCGAGCACCCGTAACACGAATTGGCACGCCGATGAAGCGCCTGTGCTACTGTTTGTATGCACGTGAGCTATGAAGCATCGTCACACTGTGAATTGTTTGCATCTTCTGCAGGTCGACATCAGCGTCGGTGGACACGGTTTGCAGGGAGGATACAGGATCGCAGAATGTGACTCCAAACTCGCACTCGCACTCACAATCACACTCCCATTCCCTCTCCTCCTTCCCACTGACCCCGCCGCCCTCCCTCGCCCTGTGGACCCTTCACAGGGTGGAGGCGTGGCTTTGCGACATCGATCTGCCCGAGTACGTATCGGCGCTTCACAATAGCGGTCTTCATGGGGCTCTTCTGGTAAGGGAATGTGTGAGTGAGTGAGTGAGTGAGCGTGATTCCAACCCTGAGGAGGATGGCTGAAGAGGGTTGGTTGTGCCCTAGCGAGGAGTGACTGGTATCATAGTGAATGGCTTGGCTAATTTGGGATGTTGTTGATCCGTTGCCAGTGGAGTGCAATAGTCGGTGGTCTTTCACAGTTGGTGTTGTGTGTAGGTATACGAGGATCGATTCACGGTGGAGACACTGGCAGATCTGCTGGACATAGGACCAGAGCGAACACTGTTGCGTCGTCACTTGTGGGAGGAGTTTGCCAACCTCCTTGATTCCTACCTCCGTCAACGCAAACAGCACTGCGCCAGCAAGGACAGCAGTGTTGGTGCTGCACCTGCCCTCAACCCGGCCACGAAGCTGAAGGTGAGTTGGGCGGAGTTGTCGCCAGCCCACCACCTAGTGTATGCGTGTGTAGAAGTGGTGCCGTTAAGCAAGAACCGTGGGACGGTGAGCGAGATGTAGGAGATGGTGGCACTGTCGGTATGGAGGTCGACTCGATGGAGGTGAGGTAAAAACGTGGCCCTGTGGTAGTATCCATCACAGGTGCACAGCAATGTCATAGCGCCTCCTCCTCCTCCTCCTCCTTATCCGTCTCCTTATGCTTCTGCTCCTTTCATTCTCAAGCGAAACTGGTCTTAGGTGCCAGTTGTAGGGCATGCGGTGTGCACAAAGTAGTGTTGGACTCTGCACTGTCTGGTACGGACATAAATAAGAAGGTCTTCTCACCTACAGTAGACTAGCATCTGCTGTTGCTGAGAGAAGAATGGGAGAGCGGGGAAGGTTTTTTGGCACGCCTTGAGGCAGGACCAATCGTGTGCCTTAGAGGGATATGCACATTTTTTATTTGGCCTTCCGCAGATCATTTACTTCTTCTGTCTCTATCACCATCACCACCACCACCACCACCACCACCACTATTACCACCAGCCTCACTACGAAGGTACACAAAGCACAGACGTGGATGAGTGATTTGGCCGTGTGTGTGTGTGTGTAATGGGTAGTGGGCAATGAGTGCTGTCATTTGATGCAATCGTTGGTGTGTCCTTTGGCCAACTTTTGACCGTGCAAACGCTCCGCCTGTCGGCCTGTCAGGCTGCCAAGCAGTCATTCATGTGGCGAATAATCCTCCTCTAGCATGCGGAAGAGGTGGCGAGGGAAAGGATGGTGTAGTGGTATTTGGACACTGGTGTTGCTGAGAGGTGAACGCCACTTTCTCAGTTGTCGCCGCAACTCGCCCTTCTGACTTCCTTCCACTCAGATTCGCTGAACCTCAACGCAGTTGAGTGTCCTTGCGACGTAAAACACCACCATGTGATTGGGCATGAGCACTGCTAGGAAGTAGTTCTCTGCCAGCTCTCCTCACGATGTCATTTGGATTGCGCATCCACCACCACCGCCACAGCCGCCATGTAAGAGAGTTGAGCTCGGTGCGTGGGTCGGATGGAGTAAGCCGCATCAAAGTAGGGCGGCAATGGGTAGGAGCAGGACAGTGGTGAGCATTGGCCACTGGTTCGGGTTCATGAGCAGTGACATACTTTCTGCTGACATTGCAGCGAGTTGTGAGGAAATCTGCACTGCTATTATTGGTTAGCAGGTAATGTGACAAAAAGTCCCCAACGTGTCCCCCTCTCTTTCTCCATCTTATTGGCATCGTAAGCTCCTTCGGTATGCTGATGGTGAGGGTGGTTGTGGTGGT